GCAGATAGCCCTCGTGTAGCTTTGCGCGAAATTCAAAACAAACAAAATCTATCTCGGATCGAAACTGACAAAAACGCGGATTAATTAACGCAGGCGGAACTTTGGCATCAGGCGAATTAAACAGAAAGGTCGATCACCAGAGACAAATATCAAATAAAATGATACACTTAATAGGTGAGCAGGCAAATATAATGAATTTTTCGAATCAGACTATTGAAATTCATGATCAAGAGATTAGACAGGTATCTTATGCATTAGTACATAATACAAACAATTTGATTCATGCTAGACTCTAACAAACTAAGATTCCTAAGGCAAGTGCTGAAATGTTAGTCTTTAATAGCGATAATTCAGAACAATTTGTAGCAATTAGCTTTCGCAGTGGAGAGTAGTAGAACAGAGTTAGTTAAACTAGTACAATCACTTTACATATCAGCAAATATACGACTAATTTGCATACTTTTTACCCCCTAGCAAGTTAGAAAAATACTTGGTGAAATTGAATGAAGATTACCTCCACACTTACAGTTTGTGATCCCCATGCATATAAATCAAATTTACATTCATTATACCTGGGCTGATGTGAAAACAGCTGCTGTAGAAGACACTCTGAGAATGATCATAAAAACACCTTTAAAGATAATGGACAGAATGTTTAAGTTATATAGAATAATACATTTAACATCAAACAATTCTTTTGATTTAACAGTAGAAAGTGGGAAATCATCATACATAGCCATTTCAAATGATCTGCAAACATACTTAAAATGACAGAAGAAGACATGTTAAAATGCACAGAGAGATTCCTCCAGAGATTCTCACAGAAGATTCCTGCAAAGATTCTGATCGTTGGCCGAGACTCTCCAGGTATGGCTGTCTTGCAGAGCATCGAGAACATTCATCAAACAAACTTATTGTAAGCCTGAACTTGCAAACTCTAGAATAGTAGAAGGTCTAATAAGGTTAATGGAAGATGTAATTGAAATGTTAAGAAACTTAAATGAAGAATTATTGTTAAAGTATTCCGTATAGATTATGTCGGAGAATAATCCTAGGGTCAGGTTGATAGATGATTTGTTAAATATTGTGCAGATATTAATGCAAGTGTTGGAAGACTTTACTAATGAGCGACCTATTATTCATGCTTGAAGAAGAAAAGTTCCATGTAGACATGTTGTTAAATATGTTTCTTTTGTTTTTCTTTGTTTGTAATTAAGCACAAAGCTACACAATGGGCTATCTGTGATCTGCCCACCACGGGTATTGAAACTAGATGACTGCATTAATTCTAAGCTGGTTTACGAAAAAATTGGGAAGGTTAAAGAACGATAAGGTTCGTGGGCCAGATAATATTTCCCCAAGGGTTTTGAAAGAGGCAAAAGATTGGATATGGAGCCACTTGCTACTATTTTTTGTCAGTCCTTGAATAGTGGGCAGGTACCAGAGGATTGAAAGTTGGCTAATGTAACTCCTCTTTTCAAGGGAGGTGATAAAAAATATCCCAGTAATTATAGACCTATTAGTCTTACATCAGTTGTGGGAAAAGGTTTGGAAAGTCTGATAAAAGATACTTTGTAAGGTCATTTAATAAAGTTTAGAATTTTATTGCATAGTTAACATGGTTTTACCAAGTGAAAATCTTGCTTCACAAATCTTTTGACATTCTTTGAAAAGGTTACTGCCTATGTAGATGAGAGTAATAGTGTAGATTTGATCTATCTGGATTTTCAGAAAGCATTTGACAAAGTGCCACATAAAAGGCT